TTAGTTTAGTACGCAGCTAAAAACCCTAAACCCTAATATCCTAAACCCTAGTAGAAGTATACAGCACACGTAGACAAACCCTAAACCCTAAACCCTAAACCCTAGACCCTAAACCCTAAACCCTAACTCATACACCCCAAAGCGTAAACCCTAGAGTGTATACACTAAATACCTGCTAACCCTAAACCCTAAACCCTAAACCCTAGACCCTAAAACCCTAAACCCTAGACCTTAAGCTCCAAACCCTAAACCCTCAAACCCAAACCCTAAACCCTAAACCCTAAACCCTTGCTGTCTCTTCACAGCACGCTACAGAGAATTAGGGTTTAGGGTTTTGCTGCTGAGGGTTTAGGAGATGAATGCCGTTGTCTTTGTTTTATTTTTTATTTATATTTTTGTTTTTTTGTTTTATTTATATTTTTATATATTTAATAAAATAAAAATAAAATATAAACAAACAAAGAAAAAAAAAACAGAAACGAGGGGACTCTCTCTTCTGTCTCCTTTCTGTCTCTTCTCTATTTCTTTTTTAATATAAAGGAGACAAACAATAAATAAATAAATAAATAAATAAATAATAAATAAATATATAAATAAATACATAAATATATATAGTTAGTATAAATAGAATGCGGATACTTTCTAGGGTTTAGGGTTTACCCTAAACCCTAAAAAAGGGTTTAGGGTTTACCCTAAACCCTACGTCCTAGGGTTTAGGGTTTACCCTAAACCCTAAAAAAGGGTTTAGGGTTTACCCTAAACCCTAAAAAGAATATATGCTTTAGGGCTACGCTAAACCCTAAAAAAGGGTTTAGGGTTTATGGTTACTCTAAACAATCAAAAAGGATTTAGGGTTTAGGGTTTAGGGGTACGCTAAACCCTAAACCCTAAACCCTTTTTTAGGGTTTGTCTGTAATATATAAAAGAGACAAAAGGAGACAAACAAAAACACAGAAAGAAAAGAAGAGAGGAGACAGAAGAAAAAAGAAAAAAAGAAAAAAGAAAGGAGACAGAAAAGAAACAAAAGGAGACAGATAGAGAGACAGAAAAGGAGACAGTTAGAGAGACAGAAAAGAGACAAAAGGAGACAGAAAGAGGAGAGAAATCAGAAAAAAAGAGACAAAAGGAGACAAAAAGAAGAAAGGAAACGAAAAGGAGACAAAAAGGAGACAGAAAAGGAGACAAAAGGAGACAGAGAAAGAAACAAAAGGAGACAAAAATGAGACAGAGAAAGAAACAAAAGGAGACAGAGAAAGAAACAAAAGGAGACAAAAAGGGGACAAAAGGAGACAGAAAAGGAGACAAAAAAGGAGACAGAAAAGGAGATAAAAGGAGACAAAAAGGAGACAAAAAGGAGACAGAGAAAGAAACAAAAGGAGACAAAAAGGAGACAGAGGAAGAAACAAAAGGAGACAAAAAGAAGATAAAAAGAAAACAAAAAGGAGACAGACAAACGGAGACAGAAAAGGAGACAGAGAAAGGCAAAAAGGAGACAGAAAAGGAGACAAAAGGAGACAAAAAGAGACAAAAGGAGACAAAAAGAGACAAAAGGAGACGGTTGAACTAGAATTTGAATTGTTTCTTTTTTTTTGATTTCGATGCAGCTGCGGAGACACCCCGTAATTCGTCTCCTTTTCTCTTTCTCTCTGTAGCACACAAATATATTTATTTATTTATTTTTTATTTATTTACTTATTTATTTATTTGTTTTTATTTTGTTTATTTATTTTTATTTTATTTATTTATTTGTTTTTATTTTGTTTGTTTATATCTCTGTTTTTTTTTACAAGAAGGATACAGAAAAGAGACAAAGAAAGAAACAAAAGGAGACAAAAAGGGAGACAAAAAAGGAGACAAAAGGAGACGAAAGGAGACAAAAAAGGAGACAGAAAAGGAAACAAAAGGAGATACAAAAAAGGAGACAAAAAGGAGACAAAAAAGGAGACAAAAGGAGACAAAAGGAGACAAAAAGGAGACAAAAAGGAGACAAAAAGGAGACAAGAAGGATACAGAAAAGGAGACAAAAAGGAGACAAAAAGGAGACAAAGAAAGAAACAAAAGGAGACAGAAGGAGACCAAAGGAGACAAAAAGGAGACAAAAAAAGGACAAAGAAAGGGAGACAAAAAGGAGACAAAGAAATAAACAAAAGGAGACAGAAAAAGAGACAAAAAGGAGACAGAAAAGGAGACAAAGAAAGAAACAAAAGGAGACAAAAAGGAGACAAAAAGGAGACAAAAAGGAGAAAGTTCTTACGGTCTGTGGGGTCTATTTGTCCTGCTGCAGCTTTTGCTTTTGCTGCTGCTTCTTCGTGCTGCCGCAGCTGCTGCCGGATAACATCAGCAGTGAAGGCCCCTTCTTGTTCTGTTTTAAATAAAACACACACACACTCCTGCTGCTGCTGCTGCTGCTGCTGCTGCTGCTGCTGCTGCTG